TCACAATTCAAAAATTTTATAGGTCACATTTAATTCGTTGGTCACAGATTTCAAAATTAATTGGTCACAAATCAAAATTTATAGGTCATACGGTCACATATTTCCAAATTAGTTGGTCACAGATTTTTTATGATCACAGATTATATAATTTTTAGGTCACAGATAAAAAAATGGTTAATTTCATTGGTCACATATTTTCAAATTTGTTGGTCAATGATTATTTTTCAATCACATATTGTCAAATTTTTAGATCACAGTTAAATACTTGGTCACAGATAACCAAATACTTGGTCAAATACAAATGACACTACTATATCAGCCACTTTTGACCACCCCCACCCCGCCGCCGCCATCACCACCACGACCACCAACATCACCGCCGTCGACCAGCACCGCAAAACATCACCACCACAGATCCATACAAGTTTATCGCCACCACACAAACAAAAACTAACCAACTGCAGAACACACGACCGGACGAATTAATTGGTCACAGATCGACCAACTAATTGGTCACAAATACTCTCCTTCAACCCCGCTGCAACACCACCACAACCACCGGCACAACAATACCAAAAAGCGACAGCAACCACCAACATCGAGCTTTTTACCACTGCAAAATTGCAGCTGCGAAATCCACCAGACGCTGCTGTGAATCACAGCGGCAATCAGCAGCGTGCGATTCACAGCAGCGTCGACGCTGCTGTGATTTGCAGCAAAGTGAGGGAGGGGGAGGCGAAGAGACGGGCGGCACCAACACCGAGCTTTTTACCACCGCAAAATCCCATCTTCGAAATCCACCAGACACTGCTGCGAAAACGACCGAGAAACCCACTAGACGATACTGCGAATCACAGCAGCAGCAGCGTCTTCTCGACCGTCGCTGCGATTCACAGTAGCGTCGACGCTGCTATGATTCGCAGCAGAGCGAGAGAGGGGGAGGGGGGGCGGCAGGAGGTTGAGGCGGCGATGGTGAGATTGGGAAGAGAAATGGTTAGAGAGTTGTTTAGGGTTTTAAAATGAATTTGGTAGGGGTAGATAGTAGGGTGAGTATATAGGTTAATTTAATTTTATAATATTATTACTAATATTAATTGTGAAATTAAAACCTGATTTTTGATTAAATAAAGTCCAAACCTGATTTTTAAAAACTGATTTTTAAATAATTGTTTTTTTGTAATTTCCTCTAAAATTTAACTATTGGCTAGCCCTTATTATAGTTTATTTCAAACCTTTTGCGACACGGATTGACAAGATCAGATGTTCAACCCTTTGAACTTTTAGGATTACTTTGAAACAATGTGGTATTTTCTCTAATTTCTCGAATTTCAATATTTGAAACAATGTGTTATTTTCTTTAATTTCTTGAATTTAAATATTTGAATTTTAATTTTAATAGCATACTAATTTTCTATAATTTTATTATCTCATTTTCTATTTCTATTGACATTGAAAGTGGGCATAATGAAAATAAAAGTAAAAATCATTATTTCAAAAATCTTTTTTCTAAATACTCATTTTCAATCAAATATTCACGTAATAAAATATTCTAATGTAAATCCAAAATTTGTTCATATTTTTTAACCACACATTCTTCAGAAAAATTAATATTCAAAATTTCATTTTATCCAAATAATGGTGGTCAAACATGGGCTAAATGTTTTTATCTTTATATATTAATTAATTTGAAAATTAACTTATTTTTATGGTATTTATTTATTTATTACAATTGGTTCAATCTCAGTTCAATTTTTTGACTTTTGACACCTTTTCTTTTTGGGTCAATACTCAGGTTGATTTTGAAAATATTGGTACACGGAGAAAATAGTTAAATTTTTCTTCAAATTTTCTACTTTAAATCTTTATTGACTCTCGATGACTCCAGTGTATCTCTATTAAATTGAAAATCTATAAATAAAGTATAGTTCATTTTTTGCCTTCGTTTAGTGCTAGTTGTGTAAATTTTCCTTCAATTTCTATTGAACATTTGAACTACCAAATTGCTCAATATTCTGAAAGTTTTGACATAATTTGCATTTTGTGCAGTTTATTCATGTCTCTTACTAGAATATGCTCAAGTTTCATTAACTTGGTGTTTTGTTTGATCAAATGTTCTTCGATTAGGCTTAAAGCTAAGGCAATTTTCTCTCCACCTTTTATTTTGACAATCTCATTGACACAAAATGAAAAATTGGAGATTTGTTTAACACTTCAATTATAGCTGCGAGACATTTAAGGTTAAATTATATCATTGATCACTAAACTTTGCTCCCTGTTACTACTAACTCACTTTGTTCCTTTACATTGAAAAAGAAAATTTAGTTCACAATCATATAATAACAAATCATCACATAATTGATACGCAGCACCTTAGAAACAAAAACAGTAAAATAAAGGTTATGACAATGTCTTTAAATAAAATGTAAGACGTGATTTTTTAATACTTTGATGACTTGACGTAGTTATAAATTGATATGTTATTAAGTAGAAGATTCGATACGACATTACAATCACTTAAAACAATCTAATTTGGTACATGGGAGACGAGGTGAGGTTTGAAACTAAAATTGAAGTTTAGGGTCCAAATGAAACTAAACTAAATCTTATTGGCCCAATTGGAAGTTCCAATCTTGAAAAAGAAAGCTTAGAACATTTCCAATGTTGATGTAAAATAGATTTAAATCTTCGAAGTCGTTGAAACCTCTCCAATTGAGAGATGTAAAGGACATGTAAATTGTATTTTTCGACAGAAAATATAAGAAAAGATGTAAATTTTATTCCAATTAAAATTGAAAATATAGTCGTTATTAGGTTCCACTCGTCTAATAAAAGTCAACAATAACGGCTAGTTTTTCAATTTTAATCTCTACCGAACACGCCCTAAACCTTGTTTGATTCAGTTAAAATATTGAATTTAAATTTAAGTCAAAGTGAACCATTAATTTTAATCATAAATTTCATGTGATCTACAACTTTTCTACTACAAATTTCGTCAACTTTTATCAAAATATAATTGGGGTTAAAGCATGTACAAACGTACTTAAAAATGGCTTTTTTTAGCTTCCATTCATGGAAGCAGCCTAATTGGTTAAGATTTTGCTTCTCAATTAATTGTGAATTTTTATTTGCAATTGTATTTTCCCTAACAATTTTAGAGAGATTCAAATTGAGCAAACCATTGGAAAGCCAAATGAGAATGATGGACTCAACAAGCCTTTTCTTTTCAAGGGAGCATAGAAAGAAAAATGAATTCCAGAAAAAAAGAAGTATCAAAGGTACGAGCGACGTTGAACATCTTGAACATGAACTGGAGGTTGAAAAATACGAAAAAAGATGTCCGTACTNTTTGCTTTTAATCATTCCCGAACATTGCCTTAATTTTCTTGTAAATTCTACGTTCGCAAAACCCATAGTAAATATAGTTAACGTAAATCACTGGCTATTCCAAAGGTCCAAATTACCGTCAGCGCTAAATCCTCGCAACGCATTTCACGATCCACCGACAGCAGTAGTGAAAAAACAGGCTGTCCAGAAAATTTTGCGCTCATAAAATCCGTGATCCCAAGCAATATATATCAATCATTAAAAAAAAACACATAGATCGCTTTGACTCATTGTCTTCTTTCTCAATCTGATAAAAATCTGGAGTTTTTTTTTTCTCTTAAACACGTCAAGTAAGTTTCTTTCCATTCCCTCTCCATTTTAGATACCATTCAGATCTAATCAGTAACAAAATCTGATATCTATGTAAATGTAGTATACAGTTGCTTGATTTGTTCTTTTCTTTAATTAGTTTTGTGGGTTTCTTGCATTTTATTTTTTGTTTTTTGCAGGGTGTTATTCGTGACTGAAAATTATGTCCAGTGGTGCAGATTTGCATCCGAGCGGTGCTGAGGTAAGAGTTTCTGATTCAATTTGTGAGAATACGAACAATGGCAGTGAAAATTGCCGAAATGGGTTTTACCCGAATGCAAAGAAGTTCAAGATTTTCATAGGGTATGATCCGCGGGAGGATCTTGCATATGAGGTCTGCCGCTACTCCCTGTTGAAGAGATCCTCAATCCCTATTGAGATATTTCCCATCAAGCAATCTGAATTGCGAGAAATGGGTGTTTACTGGCGCGAAAGAGGGAAATTAGAGAGCACTGAATTCTCATTCTCGAGGTTTTTGACTCCATATCTAGCAAATTATGAAGGATGGGCCATGTTTGTGGATTGCGATTTCTTGTATTTACGTGATATTAACGAACTAGTGGATCTGATTGATGAAAAATACGCAATAATGTGTGTTCAACACGATTACACACCTAAAGAAACAACAAAAATGGATGGGGCAGTTCAAACCGTGTACCCAAGGAAGAACTGGTCTTCAATGGTGTTGTACAATTGTGGGCACCCGAAGAATAGTGTGCTAACCCCGGAAGTGGTGAACAAGGAGACGGGCGCATTTCTTCATAGGTTTCAGTGGTTAGATGACAATGAGATTGGAGAAATTCCATTTGTGTGGAACTTCCTTGTTGGACATAACAGGGTTGTTGAAGGCAATCCAAGCACATTCCCCATGGCGATACATTATACTCTTGGAGGGCCATGGTTCGAGCAATGGAAGGATTGTGAGTTTGGGGATCTGTGGTTGAAAGAGTTGGAGGAGTACAAGAAGGAAGCCGAAAAGAAGGTGGATTAGGTGGGTATACATGTATGCCTTGATATTATTTCATTCTATATCCGAGGCAAGTTGCCCTTGCCTGTTTACCAATTGTTTCCTCAATTTTTTTCTGCGTGTTTACTTGAAGGATGTCGACCAACGGAGTTGGTTTTTCCCAGTAGTAATACACGTTCACAACCTAGTTTAATGTCCAGTTTAAGACGGTTATTGTTCAATTTGTACTGGTTCATGTTGTTATTTTAATGATATTCTTGACATCTGATTATGATACTAGAATTGTTGGCGAGTATATTTAGTGCATATGGTTTAAAATGGATATTATTAGTTAATATAGTGTATTAATTAGGTACAATGTTAATACTTTTCTCTCCATTTTTTGTGATATTGTAGTTGGGAATTCTCGCCATGAATGAACTCAGTTTGATGTCATTATTTTATTGGAAGACAACGATAATTTTATATATTTTGTCGATGTCATATTATTTTATTGGACAATTAATGTATGAGAGACGACAAATGATTTGTCTGTGGAAGAATAAATCAGCGTATTTGCTCCCCTACCATATGCTGCTGCAACCATTTTGGCTGAACTGAATAGGCTTTGTGCTTCAGCTATGTTACGATGTATCATTCTTTTACATTTCTGTTTGTTTTATGTCATCTGTTACTTTATGGAGATATCATTCTTTTACATTTCTGTGCTTTGCTCGAAAAATTTAGAAAAAGGGGACGTGAAATTTACTCTCTAATTCTGAATTTTGACAGAACTTCTATGTAAGATCAAGTTTTCTCCTATGGAATGCGAGTCATTCCTGATCCTGAACTTGCTTGTTTTGCCTTGCTGAATAACTATCACAAGTCTTCGGCTCTTTCTTAACTGGTTTGGAGACGAGCATTCCCCTTTTCGTACAGGAATTTTTGCTCGCACAGAATTACCAATGTGTTCTCCCATTAATTTTCGCTCTTGCAAAATTTGTACTTCAGAATATCGCACTTGTGAGATTTCTCAGCATTCAATCTTTGTATTTTTTCAATGTTGTTTGGCGTCGATCTTAGAACTTCAAACACACAAAATAAACAGAATTTCACTAAAATAATCAGCAAGAGTATAACAAATGAGCACAAGATTTACACTTATCAATGGCTGCCCATCACTAAATTCTATCACATTATAATTGGAGTAACTCATAATGCAACACAAACAAGTGCAATATCGGGAAGGAAACATTCATTTTGTTAACATTGAGCTCCATACATGTCAAAACTTTATTAAATATTGTCGTGGAAATTTTCAAGAAATCTTGATCTGGGTTCAATTTAATCAACCAATCAAACAACAACAGAGGAAGCTCGACCCACAACTTTAACACTTGGTTGCCACAAGTTTACTCACCCACAAATGATACACTTGGTGATTGGTTTGCAAGCCACAAAGGAAGAGGAAATGGAGTAGCAATTGGAACCTCAAAGAAGAGCCAAAACTGGCCAAATCTCACGTTTTTCTCTCTTTCTCACAAACCAACACATACCCACACGGCTGAAAGAGATGGATATATATATATATATATATATATATATATATATATAGTATTAGTTAGGTCACTCCAATTGGGCCAAACTTTACTAAATGGGCCACCATATATCACCATCCAACTAATAACCACAACTTGTGTCATCCATGAGTGTTGGAACATGAGCAACATTAACTCAATTAAGTTGCTTCTAGTGACCCCAAGTTATTTTTGGGTCGAACCATCACTAAAATGTCGATATAAAATTATCTATCATAGCTTTAATATCATCGCCCGAGATTTATTGGGTATCAAAAAATTCAATAAATCTCCACATTGATACCCAATCAACTGTAAGTAATCAAAACACACAGTTTATACTTGTATAATCAAGGTAACCAATAAAATTGGTATCACAAACCTTACCTCGTGTTTCGAACCCGAAACATATACCATACCTGCTCCATGTACTCACCAGGGCTAAGATCAAGAACACCTAAATAGAAGCAGATAATTACAGTAATCAATCAAGAGCAAATAAACATGCGATGAAGATATCATATAGGATAGCACAGATCTTTTCAAAAAGACAGGTTTACACGAAACAATATATTAACACCAAGTTAATCAATTATATGGTCAACATATATGCAACAAATGCATAAATGACCCCATGAAAAGATCTTACTACACTTATCATATCACATTCCGTGTTGCTCACACCTCGAGAACACATATTTCACCTCATCACCCACCATGCCCACTAGACTAATCACTCAACTCATGTCTAACGGTAGACATCTATAGATCCTAAATCCTTGAGATAATCATCTATCATCACATCACTTCTCCCAACTTAAGTAGATAATGGGTCTCTACCTAATAGAAGTGATAGAAGTGTCTCTTTCTCACACTCCACCTGATTAAAGTCTCTTCTCAGATAAAAGATTCCAACATTTGATCATATCTCCACTCGTGATCCAAATGTCACACTCCACATCCTCAGTATAAACTACCAATGTATCCCTAGACATCTATATTCCACATCACCAAAAGACATACAACTCACTACTAATGCATTTTAACCTACTATGCATGCAAACAATTACACAAAGTAATCAGATCGCTCTCAAAAATTTATGCAAATGCACATATCAAAAATATTGACATCCACATATAATCATGTAATAGAATTAAGCAATCACACACATGCAGAAAAGATTACACACGGATGCACATGCAGTAACTAGGTTTACTCTCAATAAACGACGACCACAAGTTAACTTTCCGTCAAATAAACAACGACCACAAGTTAACTAGGTTTACTCTCAATAAATCTCACTAGGATCATCACTCGACCCAATAACCACATTCGTCACGTCTCTCATCTCATCTTTCCTTTTATCATCATTCATAAGACAACCTATTTTACCATCTCTAAATTTACTGTAGGTAAAATACATCTTATTTTTCGTACTTGCCTTAGACCACATTTGCCATCAAAAGTTTTATGAAAAACCTTTTCGTTTTGCCAAATTTAAAATCACATTTTTTGTCATTAAAACAGCACAACTCAAAACGTATTTTCATTTTTACCAAAAAATGTACAAAACACAAAATGCAACCANGAAGACAAAAATGTAAGCCTATAATCTTTATTTTTCTTGTTTTCTTTGTGGATTTTTCAAAAACAAAAAAAAAAAAAAATTTGTGGGGTTGTGGGGTCATTTGACCCCACATGACCCCATGTGGGTCCGCCCCTGCGTGATCCAAATGTCACACTCCACATCCTCAGAATAAACCACAAATGTATCCCTAGACATCTATATTCCACATCACCAAAAGACATACAACACACTACTAATGCATTTTAACCTACTATGCATGCAAACAATTACACAAAGTAATCAGATCGCTCTCAAAAATTCATGCAAATGCACATATCAAAAATATTGAAATCCACATATAATCATGCAATAGAATTAAGCAATCACACACATGCAGAAAAGATTACACACGGATGCACATGCAGTAACTAGGTTTACTCTCAATAAACGACGACCACAAGTTAACTTTCCGTCAAATAAACAACGACCACAAGTTAACTAGGTTTACTCTCAATAAATCTCACTAGGATCATCACTCGACCCAATAACCACATTCGTCACGTCTCTCATCTCATCTTTCTTTTTATCATCATTCATAAGACAACCTATTTCACCATCTCTAAATTTACTGTAGCTAAAATACATCTTATTTTTCGCACTTGTCTTAGATCACATTTGCCATCAAAAGTTTTATGAAAAACCTTTTCGTTTTGCCAAATTTAAAATCACATTTTTTTCATTAAAACAGCACAACTCAAAACGTATTTTCATTTTTACCAAAAAATGTACAAAACACAAAATGCAACCAAACAACGACCACAAGTTAAGTACAGACACAATTCACATAGAATTGTCAAATAAACTTTCCTAAGGTCGCGCAATTCTAATAATGAAAAAAAAAATTGACAACAAATTCACGAAAAATTTAAAACAAATAATTAACAAGTAATTCTTAGGTCTAGCAACAGGCAATGGTTACCCCTTCACGGTAACCCCAAACCTAACGTCACCCACACGATGACTTCTAGCGCGAAAAATAAATTTTCCTACACAATAATTTTAACTTCAATAAGTTACCCCTTCACGGTAACCTCAATTCTAATGTCATCCTACATGATAACTTTTAATGCAAAAAATAAATCGTTATCCTACACAATAACCATAACTGCAATAATAAAAGGGAAATGACACGGTACTAAGCGGACCACGTTTGCAGGTTCGTAAATATCGAGAGATGCTAATTCACCACATTAAGGCTATCACTATCTGTCTCAAAGCTTCCGACAGCTGCAGCAACACAAAACGACGCTCGTTACTCAAACTTCGAAGGGCAAAATCGTTCGATTTTCACCGTATCACCCGAAACTGAAAACGGACACCACCATAAGGTTTGCCACGCCACCAGAACCATTCTGCCAGAAGACGTCATCGCAGTAAAACCTCCCATGCGCCTCCACCGTCTCTATGTGTGGGCTTCACGCGCCAAACCTCTTGGTGCGCCTCCGCCTGCATAGTCCACAAGTGGTAGCTGCTTATCCTAAAGATGAGTGGTTTCTTCAAAAATCGCAAAAACGGGTCCATTTTGTTTTTGTAAAATCTGGACAGTTTCTGTCTCTGCTTTATGTCGGTTTCCAGCAATGTTTGTGGGTACTTTTGGTCGATTTTCACTCCAAAAATCATAGATTTTGCTACTACCCTTGCTTTGATACCATTTGTCACGAAAATTTTCGAGAAATTTTGATCCGAACTCAGTTTAATCAACCAATCAAACACCAACCGAGGAGGCTCGACCCATAACTTTAACACTTGGTTGCCACATGTTTACTCACCCACAAAGGATACACTTGGCGATTGGTTTGCAATCCACAAAGGAAAAGGAAATAGAGTAGCAATTGGAACCTCAAGGAAGAAGAACCAAAACCGGCCAAACATCACATTTTTCTCTCTTTCTCACAAACCAGCACACACCCGCACGGTTGAAAGAGATGGATATATATAGCACTAGTTAGGTCACTCCAATTGGGCCTAACTTCACTAAATGGGCCACCCTATATCACCATCCAACTAATAACCACAACTTGGGTCATCCACGAGTGTTGGACCTCGAGCAATATTATTATTAATTCAATTAAGTTGCTTCTAGTGACACCAAGTTATTTTCAGGTCGAACCATCACTAATGTGTCGATATAAAATTATCTAACATCGGTTTAACATTATCGCCTGAGATTTATTGGGTATCAAAAAAACCCAACAAATATTCACCCAAAAAGCCATTCACCATTCAATTTGTGAAAAATGCTAGTTGTACAGTCTTCTTGTACAGTCAATTACACAGCCCCCTCACATGGGGTGGGCCCCACAAAATCGTGAGGCTCACCCCATGTGAGAAGGCTGTGTAATTGATTGTAAAAAAATGCTGTAAATGTAGCCTAATTAAATCGTGAGGCCCACCCCATGTGAGGGGCTATGTAATTGACTGTAAAAAAAGACTGTAAATGTAGCCTAATTCTCAATTTGTAAATAAACTGAAATAATAATGACGATCTCCACGTTTTGATATAATCCAACCAAACTCAAAAGAGAGAGGTTGAATCATTATTTTTAAATTGTTAAGCAATTCAAAAATCAAACACGCAGAGGCGGAAATAGGACAACTACTTAATACTCTTTTTCACTTTTTCTTTCTTTTCGGAGAAAATTAGATTAAGACGTTAACAAAAGTTCAAAGCATCATTAATGACTATCCACACATTTGAATCTTGGATTACAAAAACGGCATACTCCATTGATGATTATTAGTGATTGAAAATGATTTAAGAAGTAACAATTCTACGTCCAATCCTTCCTATTCGATACAACTAATAGAAAATAGCATATGTTTGACTCTATTTTTCCAAAAATTCATTCCCAAACTATACATTCTCCGAAAAATCATTATTCCAACACACATTTCCACATCCCCAGAAAAAAAAAAACGCATGCATTTAACTTAATACAAAAAAAGTTGAATATTCAATTTGTAATATTATATAAATAAAAATGAAATATATTTACTATAAAAAGGTTAAGCTAAGAGTTTAAGTTCAATTAATATTTTAAATTTCATCATATTTTTCTTTATTAATAAGAGCTGGTTCATTATTTTCAAAATAAATTTTTTATTTTCTTATTTTTAACCATACATTTTTCAATAAAATAATAGTAGATTAACGCGAACGAGTGATTAAAGAGCAAGGAAATTTTTTTATCTCTTGTGTGGGAGTGACCCCCGTGTACATTTAACATTTCTCTATTTTTTAAGAATGTATTTTAAATTAGTAGATGGACACGAACGTGTGATTAAAGAGCAATGAATTTTTTTTTTTTTTTTAATTTGCACATAGTATTATTTAACGGGTTAATTTCACAAATGGTCACTGAAGTTACAGCAAAATTACAAAATTGTCACTGAAGTTCGAAACTTGCATAAACAGTCACTCAACTTTCAGGCACTTTCAAAAATGGTCACTGAGGTAAGTTTTTGGACTTCTTTTTTCTAATTGAAACCTAAAACACCAAAACACGGTCGCGTAAAAGTTGGACCTCAATTTCAAAATTTATCTAAAATCCACCTCCAATCTTCACTCTTCATTCCGGTGACTCCCAACCCAAGTAAATGTACTTGAAAACACAAATTTTTATTGAATGCAAAATCAGAATGAACTTAATACATTTACAACCAAATTTGTAACTGGAAATTGATCTACATTCACCAAAGGAGTAACAGTCTCATTCCGGATCCTCTTAATATTGGGACTCACCAAGCCTCTATGCCTAAACCCATACAAGTTCAGCACTTGATTATCCGCAAAGTTGAAATTCCTTTTCATGNTGAAATTGGCTTCATTTTGCTATGTTTTGGAGCTGTTATTTGTGTTAGGATGGTAGAGGTTGATGAGGAGATATTGGTGGTGCAAAAATCCCGGTCTGAGTTTGTTGTAGAAACCTCAATCGATGGACAGTGGCCGGACGTTCACATTGGTTTCCATGGTTGGCAGCGCCTATGGTGAAAGAGAGAGGAGGGAGAATTTTACCAACGAGGTCCTCAAGATTCTATGTCCACGTGTTTTGATCCTTTAAAGTTGAATTAACATCATAACAGTCCTAATAGTTCCTTCAGTGATAATTTGTGAAACTGGATGATACTTCAGTGATCGTTAGTGCAAGTTTTAAATTTTAGTGACTGTTTTGTGATTTTGACGTAACTTCAGTGACCGTTTGTAAAATTAACCCATTATTTAGGGGGTGTTTGACACCCATTTTAGTAGAAAAATGTGTTTTTGAATAGTGATTGATGGAAGAATGTGTGGTTAAAAAGTAAGGAGAATTTTTAGGTTTATGTGTAATATTATTTTATTGATAGAATGTGTGGTTGAAATGAAGAAAGAGAAAAAGAATGAGAATGAGAATGAGAAAGAGAAAAAAATGGGTGCCAAACGAGGGCTTAATTGAAGAAAATCGTGTGACTGAAAATAATAAAAAGAAAAATGCATTTTGAAAAAAAAAATAATAAAAAAAATAAAAATCGGCAGTTATATAAACGTCGCCGTTCTTGCCCATTTCTACTGCTTCAACTCCGACCAAAATTCCTTCCATATTTTGGTTATTTACGTATCTAATTCGTGTAGATCCTCTAATTTTTTTTTGAGATTTAGGCATATACACGAATTCCAGAGGAGTGTATGTATATATAAATAATGGGGGCTTCGTCGCTTGAGGGATTGCAAGATCACCTGAAGTTGGCTAGAGAATACGCTCTGGAAGGACTGTATGACACTTCAGTTATCTTCTTCGATGGCGCCATTGCTCAGATCAACAAGTATATGTCTCAATCTCAAAATCCTACCTTTTCCCCTTTTCTTTTCGTTTGTATGTTTTAACATTCAGTTGCATCTGTACGAATTTTTTAAATTTGAAGAAATGGGTTGATTTAGGTTTGCATCTTATATTTGAATTCAGAGTTTCACTTGGTAAATTCTGATACTGTGTGTCTCTTTGTGGAGAAATGTTCGGAACTTAGGTTCGAAGTTTTTAACTTGTTCGTATTGAAATGCTGGGAAAGTAGAAGTCATAAAGCCAAAATATCAATTCATAAAAGTATTCTATGCATTTAAGTTAAAATTGTGGTGGTTAAGTCCCTCGTGCTGAAATCTTTTGTGAATATTTCTTACATTTTGATCTTTATAATCCCAACTTTAGGCATTTAAATTCAGTCGATGACCCTTTACTGCGAACGAAATGGATGAATGCAAAGAAAGCAATTTCAGAAGAAGCGGAGGTCGTGAAGCAATTAGATGCTGAGAAAAGGTCGTTTAAGGAGGTTCCCATTGGCCGGCGGCCTAATTCACCTCCAATTTCGACGAAACCATCCTTTGTATTTCAGCCATTGGACGAGTACCCAGTGTCATCGAGTTCTCCAGTGGATGATCCTGATGTATGGCGACCACCTACTCGAGATCCTTCGAGTAGAAGACCTACTAGAACTGGTCAAGTTGGCATGAGGAAGTCACCACAAGATGCGACTTGGGCCCGTGGAGGTCCCACGAAAACAGGAACAGCAGGGCGTGGAGGAAGGACAGGTGGTTCTAGTAAGCCCAACACGGGAGTTCGAGCATCAACTACTGCAAAGAAAGGAACTGGGAAGTCGACCTCTGGAAAAGCAGATTCAGTAGTAAGTTCTTCTGCTGGAGATGTAGTTTGTTTAATGATGTCGGTACTATTACTTATGGGTTGGCAACAGTATATTCTATACCCATTTCTGTTATGAGGTACAAGGTTAGTCAACCAATTGTTTTGCTTTTTTGTGAGTATCAAGTGGCTAGGATTCTATTAGAGACATCGGTAGCTACATGGTGAACGTCACCCTTCCCTTATTAGTATTTGGGAAGAATAGATATTCACATGACGCAATGTTATTGTCAGAGCCATTAAATTGAACTAGCATTTGAACTATAAATCTAATTAGCAATTAATGTAGAAAATATTTAAGGTGTCTTCATTAGAAACTTTAGTGTTATGTTAGTTCATTTATTCATCACTGATTTTTCTGGTACTGCATGGCACAATTCTTCTTCTCTACGCTTTTGATATGAGACAAGATAATGAAAAACTGGGTGTTCGATTGATTCTATTGTGGTTGGTCAAGGAAGCTTGTTTATCATTGTTATATTTTGAAGCCCAGCATAAGTGTCAGTTCAGGCCTGATACACTTGAAGTGCTTGCCCTTAGATTTTATTGCAGCATTTCCTAATCCAATATCTAAGCTTTTGCTTCGAACATCTACTCTTACAAACTTTTCTAGCTCCTAGAAAAGTTGAATTCAACCTATCCTACTAGCCTTTTAAAATTTAAATATATTTTGTACTACAATGCAATATGATTAAAAAAATTCGCCTGTCCTTTATTTTGATGAACTATAATATGAAATTGAAGATGAGGGTATCCAGGTTCCTGAGGGATTGGCGTAGCGATCATTCATAGTACGTGGTTATTGTTTTGTTCCAGGTTAAGAACTGTCCATGAAGATCCTTGAGAAGTGGGCCTTGAGTTTTTTTAGCTGTGGTACCCCCTGACCTATGCTTTTTATAAAGGGTTTGTAGTTGTCCAAGTTTCCAAGATTTGTTGAGTTAATTTTTCTTGTTTTCCTATTCAATATTCCTTTTGATGTCAAAATCTAAACAAATAAATACATAGATTCAGCGCTAGAGTACCTGAGATGTTGTCAAGTTAAATGAAGATATATGAAGTTTCTAATTGCACATATTCAGACAGACTTGGCTGATTTATCAGATTGATTATTAAGAGGCTTCTTGGTTTAGAATTTTGAGCTGAATTTCCAATCATGTGATTTAATTGAGGCTTGAACGTGGTATCTGTGTTTCAATCTTCAAAATATTTATTTTGCAACTGATTATCAAACATTGTTCTCAATGTCTTTCAACAAACATGATTAACTATTTAAGTAGTTTAATAATTAATTATATATCAAAATACCTAGAATTTTTTTCCTGTAAATAGATCAACTTACCTGAAGTGTTGCTCCTTTTTCTTCCTCTTCTCTGTCCTGTTTTCATAATAACCTAAATTGGATATGTATTTTGCAAAGTTTATGCACTAGTTTCCTTGCTTTTAAGGTTTCCCAAGTGACCTGCACAATGGAGATTCATTATGCTATAGGAATGTAGAAATCTTTCCAGGAGACCTTAGTTTTTCCCAGTCAAAAGGAGTGTCGAAATGTTTACTTTAGCATATATAAAGAGGGAATAGATATCTTATTTACTTTAGGGTGCTGGCTTCTTATTACCCTGAATCTGGTATAGGTTCTGTATTCACTGTTAGTTAATAATAATATTGTTCATGGGCTTCTTTCTCATTTTTGTTGCGATTGTTAGAATGGTGATGATGCTGAGGATGGAAAGTTGAAAAAGGTGCAATATGAAGGGCCCGATGGAGACTTGGCTGCTATGCTTGAAAGGGATGTCTTGGAAACCAGTCCTGGTGTCAGATGGGATGACGTGGCTGGGTTGAGCGAAGCAAAAAGACTTTTAGAAGAAGCTGTGGTTCTTCCACTGTGGATGCCTGAGTATTTCCAGGTATCAGATATTGGTTGAAGCTGAGTAATGTACTTCGATTCATGTTCAACAAAGTCATCTTAATCTGTAGTTTACTAGTTTTAGTATGCTAAACATGCTGTTAGTTTGTTATGATGAGATCTCTGATGGATGATACACATAATGTAAGCCGGAGTGTGTCTCAAATTTTTTTCTGACCTCTTAATAGCTGATTTCATGTTGCAATCATTGAGAGCATGACACTGGAAGTACTCTGGGCAGTTCATTTTTTGTTCCTTACATGTAGAGAGAAATTTATATATCCAGACATAAAATAGAGATTGTTCATTCTTCATGTAATTCGTTTCTTGTTCCCTAGATTCATGGTTTATCACATTAAATATTCGAAATGTATTTGGTTTCAGGGAATTAGAAGACCGTGGAAAGGTGTACTCATGTTTGGCCCTCCTGGTACTGGGAAGACGCTTCTAGCTAAAGCTGTTGCTACTGAGTGTGGCACAACATTTTTCAACGTTTCTTCTGCTACCCTGGCTTCAAAATGGCGTGGGGAGAGTGAACGAATGGTCCGGTGTTTGTTTGATCTTGCAAGAGCTCATGCTCCTAGTACAATATTCATTGATGAGATTGATTCTCTTTGCAATGCTCGAGGGTGAGAATATTATTATTTTGTGAAGGCAATTTTTTCATTTACCAAGTGAGCCATGTAGCCTGAGTTTATTCTCTTTCTACAGTTATTTCAGTAGTTATGTGAGTTGGGGTACATGAATGCATGTATGACTTAAAATCTGTTTACGTTTCAGTACCAGCCAAATTCCAGTCTGTTTTGTATTGCTTGCTTAAACTTATAGACACAATTGAACTACCTTTATATGTACTTTAGATGATAGAGGAAAGCTTATTTATCACCATCTTACACATGCGTTCATATGTATTTATGTCGACCGCCTTGTGTATGAAACCAATTTGTAGGGCCTCAGGAGAGCACGAATCATCTAGACGGGTCAAGTCGGAGCTTCTAGTTCAGGTAGATGGTGTCAATGCTTCTGCCACCAATGAAGATGGTACTCGCAAGATAGTGATGGTTTTAGCTGCTACAAATTTTCCTTGGGATATTGATGAGGCATTGAGGTCTGGCCTCGTTTCGTTCACTTTCTTTGTATTTGCTTTTATTTCTTGAGGTTTTAAGTAGGGTGCTTATTTAATCTGATACATTAACGATTAATGCAGGAGGCGGCTGGAGAAGAGAATATACATTCCACTTCCAAATTTTGAGAGTCGCAAGGCCCTTATAAAGATCAATTTGAAAACTGTCGAGGTAAGTCTTGCTGCCTATGTGACACTGCTAGTTCATTTATAGGTCTAATTGGATATTCATAAAATCATGATTTGGGAATTTGCCCACTTGGACTTCGAATAATATTTAAACTGCTTGGCATGGCTGCAAGAAGGTTATTGTGCTGTCATCATCATTGCGCATACTAAGAAAAACCAATTTTTTGATTTATAATGCTATAATTTAGCAAATAATACAAATCTAAAAATGTTTAGTTGGTTCGCAATGTTTTTTTGTTTTTATTTTTATCATATGAAGATTTTGATGAACCAAAGCAGATATATGTTGCATGCTTATTGGCATACCCTCCCCATGCACACACATACACACAGAGTCACAGAGAGATGCATCTAAATATATATTGGTTTCTACTGGCATGAGTGAACTCTCATCTGCCCTGGTTACGTAACCAGTAGTAATAATTCTGTCCAAACAAAATGTAAGGGTTTACCCCATGCGTTTCTCTTTGGATCACTTTGTAGGAATTTGTATTAAAATTCTCACTTCTATATAGTTTTCAATCCTTAAAATAGAATATAGTTTCTTCATTTGACAACTATAGATCAATTCTCATTTGTTTACTTGCAATATTTTACATGCTGTGAATCAGATGGCTCCAGATGTGGATATTGATGAAGTGGCTCGTAAGACACAGGGATACAGTGGAGATGATCTAACAAATGTTTGCCGGGATGCTTCTTTGAATGGCATGAGGCGTAAGATAGCAGGAAAGACACGTGATGAGATCAAGAACATGTCCAAGGACGAGATTTCAAACGATCCTGTTGCAATGTGCGACTTTTTAGAAGCCTTGACTAAGGTTCAACCGAGTGTTTCAGCAGCTGATATTGAAAAGCACGAGAAGTGGTCTGCTGAATTTGGTTCAGCATAGAAGGATCGACCGATATTAATAATTCACAATCCTCTGTTTTTTCGTGCCTTCAGAAGTTACTCATCTTTTTTGTTTTGATTCTGTTAAGTGTCTTGGGTGACTGGTAGGATGATGTAGATGATTCAATCCCGATCTCTATCTTTTGTTCCCTAATTATTCGATTTGTTTAGCTACTTGAATCTGTGTTGATTATGTTTCCCCAAAGTGCATTGTGTTCTTTTGTATGTGTAACCATGTAGCAAAACTTGATGTTCATTTGGGACCTGTTTGAGCCTCACTCTTTTGCCAAAGTACATTTTCGAGTAGTTATTTGATGGTGAATGAGTGGTTAAAAAATATGAAAACATTTTAGTTTGCTGGTAATATTATTTTATTGAATAATGTGTTGTTAAAATGAAGAAAGAAGAATATATTTTGAAATTAACGGTATCAAAAATGCTCGAATTCATGTACTGAATTGGAAATTCAGATTTACTGTTCACCATATGCAATCGTTTGGCATATTTTTTCTTGGATTGTACTATGTGTACACAATCTTTTACACCCTCCTCACGTGGAGGGCGGTTCGCACACAATAAAATATGTGAGCACCTTCCATGTGACGGGGTGTAAAAGATTGTGGTGTACACGTAGCATTATCCTTTTTTCTTTCACTTATTTTTGTTTTTAGATATAAATATTAGCACAACTACAATGACAATTGAATGGTGAATTCATGAAATCAATCAACATGATTAACAAAATAAAAATGAAAAGGGAAATTTCCAAAATACATTTTATATATAATTTCAACATTTATTTATGTTCAAGTTTCTGAATTATCATAACAGCCTTAAAGTATAAAAAACATTTTGATAAAAGCCCATAATATGACAACAAATGGATATATTACTCAAGTGTCACTACTCTTTGGACCATACCTCTCAACTCTTTCATCAATCCAAGCTCTCATGTCAGCCAACACAAGATTTGCACTTTCATCAGGCTCCCCTTGGATCAATGAATGGTACATTCCTTCATACAGCTTCAAACTCTTGTCCTCACTGCTTGCCTTCTCGTACAACATTTTCGAACCGGACGAGCAAGCCACTCCGTCCAAAGTCCCATGGACTGTCAAAAATGGCACTGTTACCTTGTGGAAATTGTTTTGTATGTACTCGCATTGCCTTGCTATCTCTCTCATTGTTCCAACTCTAGGCTTCCCAGTGTATCTTCTTGGATTACTCGCGATAATCTTCAACTTTTCGGGGTCTCTAATGGCCTTCCCTACCATCTTATTGTCCGGCATGGCTGCCCATGTATCAGCTAATCCGAATAGCAATCCATACACGAACAAATGTACCTTTAAAGATAGGCCAACATTGTAATTGTAATCGATTAAATAAGGCTAATCAATTGAAACTTGTATACCTGTGAATTCTCAGAAATTCAAAAGAAATTAGTTCAGTACTTGAATATCAATTTACCTTAGAGGGTTTCATGGGTTCCGGAATTACAAAAAGCGGGGCGGAGAAGATCAACCCGGTCCAAGTTCCAGGCTCCGATTGGAAGTACATCAACATGGTGGCAAGTCCACCCATGGATTCCCCGAACAGAAAAGCCGGTAAATGCTTGTACTCATCACTAAACCTTACGCTCTTGAAGAAGCTCAAAGAGGAGGCAGCTACCTTATCCATTTCCCCTAGGTAACACCGGATCCCTTCGGAGCGGCCGTGGCCTAGGAGGTCGGCGGCGAAGACGGCGTAGCCCCAGGTGGCGTAGTGGATGCAGATCTTCTGGAAGAGCCACCCGGTGTCGGAACCGTAACCGTGGGACATATACACGGTGGCCTTGATGGGCTGGGCGGTGTCAAGTGGGAGGAATGATTGAGTAAAGAGTTTGCCATTTGGGGTTTCGAAGTACGATTTTGTGTTGCGGACTCCTTGGGAAGAGTAGTATTCTTCCTCCGGCATGCCACCCCAGAAGTTTGGAGGCGGCGGCTCCGTAGGCGGTGCAGCTGCTGCTTCTGATTGTGCAGATGGCATTTTTGGTTAGTTCTTTGGAAGAGAGAAATTTAGAGCTGGAGTTGACTTAATAGAGACGGGGTTTGGTGGGTTTTACCAACCCCTGCCTTCTGACATAGCAGGATTGGTGGTTGAACCCAACCACGAAGAAGGGGGTGTGGGGTTGGCGGGAGTAGGTGGACCGAATTTTGGTGGGGCCAATCGTGATATAGGGATTATATCAGATTGGACTGACGGTCCATATCAAATGTCCTGATCCAGCCTTATCTAAAAATTTAGCCCCCCAATTTGACCCATTATTTCATGAGAGGAATAGTATTTTTTTTGAAAAATGTGTAATTAAAAAAAAAGATTTTTTAAAAAAATTTACGTATAATATTATTTTATTGAAAAATGCGTAATTAATAAGAAGAGATAGAAAATGAATTATAATTTAATGGAAATAATAGATGCCAAACGGGGGCTTACTTTTAAACTTGCGTACTTGCAAGTATTTAACCTTAGCCAAACATGGACTAGGGGAAAGTTAAGTATGCAATCCAAAAAAAAAAAAAAAA